GGCCAGAGGGCATAATCTCATAGAAATGGGCTTGTCAGTTAAAATAGAGATGAGGAGGAAATTGTTGACGGTGGTTAATCTGTGGAATTCTTTACCACAGAAGGCTGTAGAGTCATAGATCACAGGAAAAGACCCTTCAGTCCAACTTGTCCAAGCCAACCCAGGTTTCCTAAACTGAACTGATCCCATTTGCCTGCGTTTGGCCCATATCACTCTAAACATTTTCTATTCACATACTTGTCCAAATATCTTTTAACTGTTGTAATTGTACTCAACTCCAACACTTCCTCTGGCAGCTCATTCCAGTTTGGGTCATTAAGTGTATTTACAGCTGAGATAGATTTCTAAACAGTAAGGAAATCCAGGGTTATATGTATGAGGCAAGAAAAGTGCAGTTTAGGATTATCATTTCAGTCATGTTGAGGTTAAGGATAATCGAAAGAATTTCAGCAAGTATATTAAGGGCAAAACAGCGACTAGGGAGAGAATACAGCCCCTTAAAGATCAACAAGGTAGTCTATGTGTGGAAACACAGGAGATAAGAGAGATACTACATTTCACTTCAGTATTTGCTGTGGAGAAAGACATGGAAGCTGGAGAACTCGGGGAAGTAAAGAGTGATGTCTTGAAAAACAGTCCACATTACATTAGTGGATGTGCTGGAGGTCTTAAAAAGCATAAAACTAGATAAAGTTCCAGAGCCCTACTACCTGCCGTGAGAGTTCACCCCCGCCATCCTGACAGCAGTTGACATACCACCCCATGCAGATGTGAAGAATGCCCTAGACGTGATTTACACCGCCACAAACACACCAGAGACAAAATTCCCCGAGTCCCTATTCATTGTGGCCAGCAATTCAATTAAGCCAACCTCAAGAGGGTGATGCCAAAATACCACCAACACATCTCCTTCTCCACCAGGCGACTGAACATTCTGGATCCCTGCCACACAACCATCAAAGATGCTTACCGTTCCATTCCCTGCCCACACTTCGGAAAATCAGATCACGGTGCTGTGTTCCTCCACCCAGCTTACAAGCAGAACTGAAACAGGAGGATGCTTCACAAAAGGAAGTACAGTGCTGGTCCCAGGCTGTGGTAGACAGTCTCCGGAACTGCTTGGAATCAGTGGACTGGACCATGTTCAAGTGTTCAGCGGAAAACCTGGTTGAGTATGCAACCATCATCATGGACTTCATTAACAAAACGTGCGGAGGACTGTGTACTAAAGAAGTCAATTCGAATGTTCCCCAACCGTAAACCTTGGATGAAGCAGGAAATCCACTCCTTACTGAAGGCCAGACGTGTAGCATTCAAGTTGAATGATACAGACCAAAACAGAAAATCCAGACATGACCTCCACAAAGCCATCGGGAAGGCCAAGAGGCAGTATCGGACCAAGTTAGAGGCCCAGACATACCAAACTAACTCCCGCTGTCTATGGCAAGGCCTAAAAAGACAGTACAGGATACAAAATGAAGCAGAGTAAGGTAGCGGACAAAAACACATCCCTCCTTGACACACTCAATGCTTCTTATGCTCGGTTTGAGCAGAATGCCAGCGGCGTGGCAATGCCTGCCCCGACAGCCCCGGATACATCACTTTCATCAGTCACTGCTGCTGACGTCAGATCGATTTTCCTGGGAGTCAGTCCAAGGAAAGTGATAGGCCTGGACGGCATCCCCAGTCGAGCACTCGGATCCTGTGCAGACCAACTTACGGAGGTATTCACCGGCATCTTCAATCTCTCCCTCCTACAAGCCAGAGTGTCCACCTGCTTCAAGAAGACCACCATCATCCCTGTACCTAAGAAGGCACATGCAATGTGCCTTAATGACTACCACCCAGTGGCTGTGACCTCAATAATCATGAAGTGCTTTGAGAGGCTGGTCATGGCCCACATCAACTCCCATCTCCCAGCCTGCCTTGAACCCCTACAATTTGCCTACCAATGTAACCGGTCCACAACAGATGCCATATCCCTAGTCTTGCACTCATCCCTGGAACAGGTGGACAACACGGACACCTACATCAGACTCCTGCTCATTGAAGGTGGAGCTGTAGTCAACAACACTATCCCCTCCAAACTGATCTCAAAACTGTGACCTTGGTCTCAGTGCTGCCCTCTGCAACTGGATTCTCAGCTTTCTGACTCACAGGCCGCAATCAGTGAGGATAGGTAACTGTACCTCCTCCACAATAACACTCAACACTGGAGGCCCTCAAGGATGCGTCCTCAGCCTCCTACTGCACTCCCTGTACACCCACAACTGTGTTGCCAAATTCCTAACTAACACCATCTACAAGCTTGCTGACAACATCACTGTAGTAGGACGGATATCTAACAACGACGAGTCAAAATAGACAAGGGAGATAGAGGACTTGGTGACGTGGTCCAATGTGAACAACCCCTCCCTCAACATCGGCAAAACTGAAAAACTGATCACTGACTTCAGAAAGAAAAGAAGAGAACACGCTCCCATCTACAACAACGGAACTGAGGTTGAGAGGGTGGAGAGCGTCCAGTTCCTCGGAGTGACAATAACCAACAACCTATCCTGGACTTCCTGCATAGATGCAATGGTCAAGAAGGCACAGCAATGCCTCTTCTTCAGGCAGCTCAGGAAATTTGGCATGTCCATAAGGACCCTCACCAACTTCTACAGATGCACCATTGAAAGCATACTGTCTGGGTGCATAATGGCCTGGTATGGCAACTGCTCTGCCCAGGACCATAAGAGATACAAAAGGTGGCGTGCACAGCCCAAACCATCAGATAAACCAACCCCTTCCATCCACGGACTCCATTTACATGGCTTGCTGCCGCAGAAAGGCTGCCAACATCATCAAAGACCCATCGCCCCCCAGTCATGCTCTCCTACAACCTCTTCCATCAAGCAGAAGGTACAGAAGCCTGAACACACGCATGAGCAGGTTCAGGAACAGCTTCTTTCCAGCCATTGATAGACTGATGAATGGACTTTCTAGCCTCAAGTAATGCTGATCTTGCTAATATTGATCTCACCCAATGCATGCCCTGTGCAATGTAACTAGTATGCTTCTGTCTAAGTCTTTTTGATCTGTACATCCTTGCTTACTATCATCTGCCTGTACTGCTCATAAACAAAGTTTTTCACTGTACAATCGATCAATCAAGTGTATCCTAGGACATTGTAGGAAGCAAGAGAAGAAATTGCAGGCTCCCAGCAAAGATATTTGTGTCATTAACAACCACAGGTGAGATGCTGGAGAATTGAGGGTGGCTAATGTTGTGGCTTTATTTAAGAAAGGCTGCAAAGAGAAAACTGGGAACAAAAGACCAGTGAGTCTGACATCAGTATTGGGTAAGTTATTGGAGGGGATTTTGAGAGACAGGATTTATATGCATTTGGAGAGGCAAGGATTGATTAGGGATAGTTGACATGGCTTTGTGCATGGAAATTCATGTCTCACAAACTTAGTTGTGTTTTTTTGAGGGTGTGACCAAGAAAATAGATGAGGGCAGAGTGGTAGACGTTGTCTATATGGACTTTAGTAAGGCCTTTGATAAGGTTCCACATGATAGACTGGTTAGGGATTCGGGGAGAGCTTGCCAAATGGATACAAAATTAGCTTGATGGCAGGCAACAAAGGGTGGTGGAAGAGGTTTGTTTTTCGAACTGGAGGCCTGTGTGACCAGCGGTGTTTTGCAGGGATCAAAGCTGGGTCCATTATTGTTTGTCATTTATAGAAACAGTTTGGGTGTGAATATAGGAAGCATGGTTACTAAGTTTGTGGATGACACTAAAATTGGTGGTATAGTAGATAGTGAGGAAAGCTATCTAAGATTACAAAGGGATCTTCATCAATTGGGCCAATGGACTGAGGAGTGGGAACCAGAGTTTAATTTAGATAAATATGCATTGTTGCATTTTAGTAGGATGAACAAGGGCAGTAATGGTAGGGCTCTGGCGAGAAATGCAGAACAGAGAGACCTAGGGGTTCAGGTAAATGGTTCACTGAAAGTTGTGTCACAGGTAGGCAGTGGTAAAGAAGGCATTTGGAACATTTGCCTTCATTGCTCAGACCATTGAGTTTAGGAGGTGGGAATACTTTTGGAGTACTGTGTACAGTTCTGGTCACCCTGCTATAGGTAGGATATTATTAAATTGGAGAGGATGAAGAAAAGATTTACAAGGATGTGACCATGATGGGAGGGTTTGTTTATAAGGAGAGGCTGGGACTTCTTTCACTGAAGAGTAGGAGGTTGAGAAGTGAACTTATAGATGTTTAAAAAATTATGAGGGGCACAGACAATGTGAATAGAAAAAGGTCTTTTCCCTAGGGTTGGGGAATTCAAAACTAGAGGGCATAATTTTAAGGAGAGAGGAGAAAGATTTGAAAGAGGCCTGAGGGGCAACTTTTTCCAAACAGAGAGTGGTTCGTACGTGGAATGAACTGCCAGAAAAGTGGTAGATGCAAATACAATTACAACATTTGGGAGTTATTTGGATAAGTGTATGAATAGAAAAAGTTTAGAAGGATACAGGCCAGGTGCAGGCAAATGGGATTAATTTCATTTGAGAAACTTGGTCCGTGTGGACGAGTTGAACTGAAGAGTCAGTTCCCATGCCATATGACTATCTCATATATGGCAGAGCAGACTTGATGGGCAGAATGGCCTACTTCTGCTCCTGTCCCAAATATTAGAAACAAATACAATAAGAAATTTTAAAAGTAGGTGACTAGCAGCATGATTACAAACAAAAACAGAAATTGTTGGAAAAGCTCAGCAGGTTGGCAGTATCTGTGGAGAGAAATCAGAGGCAAGAAAGGGTCACTCGACCAGAAGTTAACTGATTTCTCTCCACAGTTGCTGCCAGACCTGCTGAGGCTTTCCAGTAATTTCTATTTTTGTTTCAGACTTACAACACCTGCAGTTCTTGCAGTTTTTATTTAGCATGATTACAAACATTTGCACAATTTTAAGACTTGAGCATTAAAAAAAAACTAGCCATTACCTGTGTGTTAAAGCTTCCTGCATTCTGGAGAAGGAGGCTACAGATCTTGTACAGATTATCCAGGTCACAGGTGCTGTTTTCCAAACATTCAAAAACCGCACATCCCACCTCTGGCGCATTCTTCAAACAATTATTGATTTCAACTGTTGGAAACAGAAAGTACCATGCAATGGTGTCTTAATTATTTCACTACAGTATACTTGAGCAGCAAAAAATAGCGAGAGCTATTCTCCATGGTGGCATGTCAGAAAGGCGCAGCACTCAGATTAGCATTAGAATGCAGAAAAAAACTCAATTTATACAAAGACTTGAACTGCAGAGATGTTACTGCTGTTTTAGCTTTTGATTTCCCACGTACAAACATTCGAAATTACATCGTCCGTAATATGGTAGAAGTGGAGAAATAAATACACGAGCTATACAGTATTACGAAATGCAAGCTATTTAGTTATGCATATCTAGACTGTCATTTTGTTGGTTCACATTAATAGGAAGTATTTAGACTTTTGCACCGAAACATTAGAAAGGCGTGTACAGAAAGCTGTAAAGATCGGAAATTCATTTAATGTGTTGCTACAAATGAGTGATACTGAGCAGTTCAATTCAACCCCAGATCAGATAACACCCATCATGCAGGTTACAGGAATGAGATTGCCGCACCATTGTATGCAACAAGTCTGTGTTCACACATTTCATTTGAAAAAAAATGGAATTTAGAACACAGTTAATTTAAGTTCAGTGGGCGCTCGGTAATTAGTGCAATAGCCGCATGATGCCAAAAGCTACAGAGTAAAATGAAGGGCGGAAAGAGGTGGGAAGGAAAGGAGGAGACGGGGCCAACAAGTTAAAACACGGGTTTCCCCAAACCTGCAGGAGGATTAACGCGAAAAAAAAGTGAGAGAGCAGATTATCTGACCCACCTTCCAGTCCTCTCTTCCCTCCTTGGCCACTCCTCCAATCTCCTCAGTTTTCTCCCAGCTCCCGAATCCACAAATCCGTCCAACCACCCTCCAGTAGTGCCTCCGGGTGCTTACCTGCACGCAGCGTTTCGCCTCGCACCTTCTCCGGTGCAGCGCCGCCGCCGCTGGACTGCCAAGCCCCGGGCAGCTCATTCACATCAGCACGCTGCTCTGCAGCGCCCGGCAACCGGGCAAGGAAAAGCAGCAGCGACAGATAACCCTCCATCTCCAGCGCCAAGCGAGGAACCTCACGACGCCTTGAAGCGGCAGCAGGTTAAGATTAGGAATCCGAAAATAAATCACGTGAGAAAAGGTGGGAGGGGGACTTAAAATCGTGCGAGGAAGAGACAGCGGTCACCACTTCCCACAAGAACTGCCAAGTCTTAGACTGGCAAGGTGAGGTATTTTATAATCTTTAAAGTGTCATCAAGAGGGGCCAAAAAAAAAATCCACAGTTGCACTTGCTCCCTAGCAATTGTACAGGTTTAGTTTAAAGTGATCCCTGAGAGGGACGCGGGCTTGCAAATGCCTTTTCAGGAATATTATGCTTCTTAATCGATGTGAAATACAGCACTGCCTCAGTGCCATCAGCAAAACATTAAACAGCAGAAGTACTCCTCTCCAGAGAGTAGATGTGATGTACTGCCCCAATAAACACAAGACATGAACAAATCCAATTAACATCTCTATCGACTCCACACTCCAGTCCTCGCTCAAATATTTTATGAGGCGCAACAGCTACGCGGTGTGTGTGTATGTGTTTTTTTTACCCCATTCTGCCCGCTGCATTTCATTGAGTTTTTAACTTCATCGCGTGTGTCTAACAAGCCGGTCTGGATATAGAGTCATGTAGCACGGAATCCCACACCCAATTACTTTAGCGACACACTTTCGATGGAACTGTAGAAATGAAGGCCTTAAGTGAGAGTTTGGGCTTAAATCCCTAGATCTGCGGCAGATTTTGTTCCTTTTTTTACGTAAATCACATTCTGTGAAGCGCTTCGGAACGTTTCGCCCTTCCCATTTATAAAATTGTGGCTATCTCTCCCCTTGAACGTAAACCTAATATTAGACAGTTAAAAAAGACAAGCTCAGCAATCTAGTGATGTTAAACTAATAAAATACCAAACCTCAACCTTAAAATAGTGTATTCAAAAACAAGAGTTGTCAGGGCAAATCAGTGACCAAAATACAGTCTGCTTGGATGCTTTTTTAAAATAGAATGCGTTTGGGTATATTATACTGTAGGATGGGTTGAGGTGCTTTAGAAATTGATTCCTTTTTTTTCTTTTTAAATCCCATTCCTCATTAATGAGTTTTAAAAGCTTGTTTATGGAATATGACTGTTGCTAGGTAGGCCAGCATTTATTGCACATTACTAATTGCTCTTGAGAACTCGGTAAAGAGCTGTCTTCTTGAACTGCTGCAGTCCCTGGGCTCTCCATACGTCCACAGGGCTGAAAAGAAGACAGCTACAGGAGTTTGACCCAGCAACTGAACGCTGATATGTTACCAAGATAGGATGGTGTGTGGCATGGAGGGAATCTTGCAGGTGGTCAGTGGTAATCCCTAGGATATTAGTAGTGGAGGATTTAATAATGATTATGACATCCAATGTCAAGAGGCAGTGATTTAATTCGGTTTTTGTTTGGAGATGGTCATTATCTGGAGCTTGTATGGTGCAAATGTTACTTGTCCATTTCTTAACCCAGCCTAGATATTGTCCAGGTCTTGCTGTATTTGGATATTTGCTGTATCTGAGGAGTCCCAAATGTGCTGAACATTCTGCAACTATCAATGACCATCCCCACTTCTGACCTTATGGAGGGAAGGTCATTGATGAAGCAGTTGAAGATGGCTGGGCCTAAGGCACTACCCTGAGGAAAGCCTGGGTTCAAGTCACACCTGTCCAAGGCATATGTCTATACAGATGGATATGACAAAAAAAAACTACACTGAGGAAATTCTGCACAGATATACCAAGACTGAGATGATTGACCTCCAACAACCACAATCACCTTCCTATGTGCTAGAAATGTGTACAACCTGTTCACCCCCCCAATTACCAATGATTCCAGTATTGCTAGGATTCCTTAATACCACACTCAGTTAAATGCTCCTTGGATGTCAAAAGCAGTCACTTTCACCTCACCTCTGGAGTTTAGCTATTTTGTTCATGTTTGAACCAAGGTGGTAAAGAGGTCAGGAGCTGATTGGTGCTTGTGGGGCCCAAACTGAGCTTCAGCGAACAGGTTATTCCTTTACAGGTGCCACTTGATTTACTTTCTTGATGATCAAGGAAAGACTGATAGTGGTAATAGGCTGGGTTGGGTTTGTCTTTCCTTTTTGCACAGGATATTCATGGGCAATTTTCCACATTGCAAGGAAAATGTCAGTGTTACAGCTGAACTAGGACTGCTGACCTAGGGGTGCGATACATTGTGGAGGAGAAGTCCTCAGCTATATGGTCAGGGCCCATTGCCTTTGCAGTATGAAGTGTCTGAGATGGTTTTTGATATCATGTGGAGTGAATTGAATTGGCTGAAGATTGGCATCTGTGATGCTGGGGATCCCTGGAGGAGGTTGACACAGATCATCATTCAGCACCACTGATTGAAGATGGATGCAAGTGCTTCAGCCTTGTCTTTTGCACTGATATGTTGGGCTCTCTCATCCATAAGGATAAGGATATTTGTGGAGTTTCCACCACCTGTTAGTTGTTTGATTGTGCACCACAATTCGTGATTTGGTGTGGCAGAACTGCAGAGTTTCAATCTGATTCATTAGTTGTCGGATCACTTATCCCAGCTTTTGTGTCTATTGCACGTTGCTTCCACAGTTAACAAGTCGCCCTGTGTTTTTAGTCACCAGGTTGACACCTGACTTTTAGGTATGCCTGGTGATGTTCCTGGCACATGCTGCTCTTTTGAACCAGGATTTATCTCCTGGATTGATTATAATGAGTTTATAGATTATAGTTGATACAATTCTGCTGCCGATGGCCCACAGTGCCTTATGTTTCTAGATCTGCTGAAAGTGTGTCCCATATACTGTGGTCATAATGCCACATAGCTCAGTGGAGGGTATTCTCAATGCAAAAATGGGACGTTAACTCCACAATCTCTGTGTGGGGTCACTGATACAGATACTCTTATGGACAGATGCATTTGGGACAGTCAGATTGCTTGAGGACAAGGTCAGATAGATTATTTTCCATCTTGGTAATTCCCTCACCAAGTGCTGCAGGCCCAGTCTAGCGGTTATGTCCTGAGGACTCCACTGGCTTGCTCAGTAGTTGTACTTCTGAATCACTCGGTGTTGGACGTTGAAATCCTCTGCCCAGTGTACATTCTGTACCATTACCACCGTCAGTGCTTCCTCCAACTAGTATTCAATGTGGAGCAGTGCAGCTTCATCACATGAGGGATGGGCTGCTGTAGTGATGGTAACAACGTCAGCTAGGTGGACCTCGTAGAATATGAGTTCCCTGACTGGAGCTGTTAAATCTGGCCCAGTCAGGGCACCCTGACTGACCGATATAAACAGGAGTATCATGGGTTCTGTTCACTCTAAGAGCTGGCTGTGAGGGAGCTGTATCAGTGTCAAGGACTTACCGTGTATAAATAACGGGTGACTTGGTGATGAGATACTGGCCTCTGTGGAGTTATTTCAGTGGCAACAAGAGAAAAGCACGCTCCTAAAGAAATTTGCTCGCAACAGTCATTGCGATTTGGGGTAAACATTTCTGGCATTATGCTGTCATTTGGGAAGTTTGACTTGTTTGTTCATCAAAGACAGGTCCAGCATGTGGAAGGAATGCATTATTTTTCTGGGCAAATGACATTAGGGCAGGTGAAAAGTAACAAGTAATTCTCCTGACGGCTTGTAGGCCCACAGGCTTTTGTTATTAGGAGCCAAACTTTCCCTGAGGCACTAAATACTAAAACCTTTCAAGAGTTGATAGATTTAGTTAAAGAATATTACAACATAAACCACCTCTAATTCCAAGGTGCTATCGGTTTTACTGGGCAATTTGAGAACCAGGGAATCCATATCGTGATTTTTGACCAGGTTAAGATGAATGGCAGGGGCATGTGACTTTGGTTTAACCCTTAATGAAATGCAGAAAGACTGATTGGTATGTGGGATTAATGATGTCACCATGCAAAAGTGCCTAATAGCTGAAGTCCAAATAAACTTCAAGCAGGCGCTACAACTGGCTTTATCATTGGAAAATGTGGCAACTGGAGCATATGAGTTGCAGGGTATTCTGATGGAAGTGGACACCCTCGCCAGTCCGATTGAGCATGGGGAACACCACTTGAGTGAACAAAAACAGAAGTTGCTGGAAAAGCTCAACGTTTCAGGTCCAGTGAGCCTTCCAGAGAATTCACTGGAGTGAAGGCAATTGCATTGCCTCAGTCGGGATGTATCCTGAACAGAGGGACTCTAGTAAGCCCACATCAAAACCCCAAAGCAAAGCCTCAACCAAACGTTTAAAATTTTCTTCAGGATTCGAGTCAGTAAGCCATTTAAGTTGCTGCTAGTATGCGGAGACAAGACAGCAAAACAGTCCCACTAGACCTAAATTGAGTAAGAGAACTCATAGGCCGGTATTCAGGAGAGTGTACATCCTGGAAAGTCCACCCACATCTGGGTTGGAATGGTTAAGTTGCTTAGCAACATCCAAATCAGAACCAATCAAAATAAACATCTGGTTAAATGGTCACCTGATTCTAATGGTTGATACTAGCACGGCCATTTCAGTGATTGCAGAACTAATCTCTAACAAAATTCGCTCTGGACCCCAACCCTTAAGCTTGCACAAGGCCTTGGCCAGACTGAGAACCTATACGATTAAAGGTACAACTTCAGCTCCGGTCTCATAGGAGAAGCAGGTGATTTAGTTACCGCTGATTGTTGTAAAAGGCTTGGGACAAAGCCTGATGGGGTGAAATTGATGGAGAAATATCCACCTAGATTGGTTCAGTGATTTTCAATTAGAAAATGGCTGCCTGTGTGAAGTCCTAATTAAGTACTCGGAAGTTTTTCAGGAAGGTCTAGGGACTATCAAAGGGGCCAAGATCACCTTGCATGTTGACCAGGAAGCAATTCCATGATTGTGCAAGGCCCACCCAGTGCCATTTGCCTTATGGGTAAAAGTAGAGGCAGAGGTCAGAAGGCTGGAAAGTGAAGAAATCATCAAACCAGTCCAGTTTGTGGAATCGGCAGCATCAGTCCTACCGATCGTGAAGCCCGATGGGTCAAAATGCCTTTGTGGGGATTTTGAAAAAAACAGGAAACCACT